GAAAAAGGAAAAGAAAGAGGAAAAGACAAAGGGGAAAGTATCCACCGAGACCATACAGTCAATCATGCAAGTTATGAAGAAAATCAATCGTCCAAGCACAAAGGACTGTTAGCTCACTTAGACATAGAAGGCCGGTGATTGCCTCGAAGGAGTAAAGCCAACGAAGTTTAGTATACAGCCCGAAAAGTATACCTACTTTTTGGTAGAAGACAGAAGACAAAGACCAGGAAGACAAGAAAATTCAACAAGAAATTATTGCTAAAAGAAAAAGAAAAAAAGAGTATTAGACAAAAAAGTTTTAATATAAAGAGACATAGAAAGGGAAATAGAAAGGGCCATACAAAGGAAAGAAATTTTTGTGTAGGATTTTGAGAAAACAAGACACACAAAAAGCACGAATATAAATAGAATTAAAAACAATAAAGATAATTTTCTCAGGACAAAAAAAATTATCGCAAGGCTGAAACAAAGAAAATCACAAATAATAATAATGTAATTTACAAATTTAGACAAAGATGAACAAATTGGAAATAGAAGCTAATTTTAGACATACTAAAATAGAAGTTCGGTGGACCTCACAAATTTTAAGGGAGGAAAAGACAAAAAAAATGACCAAACACATACTAGGCCGAGAATTTTTGCCAAGAATTGCCAAGCTATAACGAAAACAATTGCAAAACATGTGGGGAATACAAAACAAAACACATATAAACAAATTGTAGCATGTTGGAAACACAAGAAATGAGCATAGGTTAAACAAAAATAGAAAAGTCGTTTCAAACTTATAGCACAAATGCCTATTTTAATGACTATTTAAAGACAAGAATTTACCTTTTCAACAACTCGTATTTTTTTAAAAATAATACTTCAAAACTTTCTACAATCTATTACGAAATGACTACTTAACCAACTTGGCTTAATTCCCAAATTTATACAAAGGCATGTAAATTACAACAATTGTGTAATAGCCTTAATTACACAGGAACCATTATTGTCGATCCTGGCAGTACAACAATTATCCAGGATCCAGACCACACATGCACCATTCCCGCAGATCCTAACGCCACTAATACAATCACAGACTCCCTAGCCAAATTAAAGACAGATCTTCTACCTAACGGGAATGACCCAATATTTTCTGTAACAATTGTAGAAAACAAAGACCCTAATAAACAGCTGGCAGAAATCCTTGTAAAGTATAATGCTGTTATTGCTCGATATTTGAAACAAAAGGATATTAAGAATTTTTGCCGCATACATGCTCTTGCATATGCCTTTCATATGGGAGCCCTCCTGAAGAGTCATAGAACAACTATCAAAACCACCATCAAGAAAAATCAGACTAAAATCTATAAATGAATTTTTGATATATTTCAAGCTCGTGGTTATAACCATATTTATCAGACAAAAGAATTTAAAGTCAGTAACTTTAATGACCCAAATGAAATCAGTTTTAATACACTTTTACTTTTTAGTAAGAGTCAAGTATAGAAGTTTAGATTTTATGAAGTAAAATCTTAAAGAGAGGAAAATGTTACAAAGTAGGTTGTAACACAATGTAATGTTAGCATAGTGTAGAATAGATTATATTTTATAAATTGTATTATTATATATTAGTTATATTTATTTAGTATTTATTAGTATTAGCTATTATTATATTTTATAACGATATTTATTATAGTAATTTTAGAGATGATATTGGCTAGAGAATTGAGGCACAGTAATGCTACACAAGTACCTCTCAGTACCTGTACACGAGTATCTCTCAGTACCTGCACACAAGTATTTCTCAGTATTTGCACACAAGTACCTCTTAGTACCTGCACACGAGTATTTTTCAGTACCTGCATATGAGTACCTCTTAGTACCTGCACATAAGTACCTGTCAGTACCTGCACACGAGTACCTGTTAGTACCTTTACACAAGTACCTCTCAGTACCTCCATATGGTACCTCTCAATACCTTCGCATGAGTATCTCTTAGTACCTTTTACACAGTTTGGCATTTATACCGCTACACCTCTTATGTATAGAAAAGTTATAAAAAGGGAGCCTTTTGCCCCTTCTGCTCAAGTTAGAGTTCCCTACTCTCTTATAGAATCTAGCCTTATCTAACTACTCTTATTACTCTTATTACATTTGTATAGTGTAATATTCTCTCTTTAGGTTATTTCTATTGCAAAGAATATTACTGTGAACTTGTTATTAATAAATATTATTATCTCTATAAACTGTTATTATCTTGAACCGTTTGCTTTCTGCTGTGAAGTAAAAATATACACTTCACAACCACACCGTATATATTCATAAAGTATATCACTACACCGGGTGACCTTGTTACTTTGCTATAACAATACCAAGAAGGCTATAGCATTGTAACAGTATGCTTATAAACTCAGCAAGCTACTGCAGTAAGAATTGTATATTGCATATTTAGAATTAATGAAATTTTTTTATTATTATCCTATAGATTCATAGAATTAATATAAAAACTTTACTGATTTGCTGTCAAGAAATTATTGTTTAAAGTTAAAGAATTTAGGTGATTATTAAAACAAAGTTAGTAGTCAAATTTCTCCAAACTTTGATCTATTAGATAAAGTAATTGCTAAGTTATTTTTATTAAAAGATCGAAAAAGTATATAATATTATTACCAGGAATTTTTAATTTCATTGGCTTGAAATGTTAACAAATATGCACTATTTAGATCTTTTTGATAAATCAAACTAATTTCAATATGTGTAATATTTTAAAGTAAAAAATATACGTTAAAGTTAGATTAGAAATTAAAATTTTTTTATATTAGAGCGCAGAACATGGTTTCATAGTTGAAATTTCATTAACAGTTTTTTAAAAATTGTGATTTTCACGTTGTATTCACAGCAGATTCTCGATTTTGATTGGCTAAGAGTGATGAACAAAAATTTGGATGAAATTACTTAGAATTCTACTAATATAACCATAGAGCCTATTAAGTGAAAATTGGTTCTGAGTTAATTTTACTATAATATTGCCAGAAATTTCTATTTTTGTAATAAAAAAAAAATCAAAAGTTAATTACAGCCAGAAATTAGTAAACAATTATATAATGTTGGCCAAAATTTGCAGATCTGTGGCTGTTAATCAATCAAATATCAAGTGACAATTTTGTATTAATTATTTGAAAAAATCTGATTAGCGCATACTTGACTATTTTATTTAAAATATTATTTAAAAATATATATGCACTTGGCTATTAGCATAAAATGCTAATTTTATGCATCTATAAATTAGATAATTTTCAGATCGAGTTTGAATTAGGTTGATGTTCAACTCAAAATTTTCAGGTCAAATATTTCTAATCTGAACTCAACCTAACTCGAAATTTCTGGTTAGGTTTTGGGTTAATCTGATCTGATTTGGAGTACTAATTATTATTGTATGAATTACCGTATTTTCCCCAAAATAAGCTACCATTTTTGGGCCAAAAATTATACAAAAATTCCCGAAGTAGCTTATTTTGAGAACAAATCGATTTTTAGTTATTTTTTATTAAGTAAAAGTAGTTGTTATATATAAAAGTCAAAATAGTACTAAGTAAATATATGTTATAAACTTAATAGAAGTTGTTCAGAATTAAAAAATACACATATCCTGAAAATTTCATACAATTTGGATAACTTTTTATTAGTAACATTTTATATATAAAGTTTGAACTTAAAATATAAAAATGTTACTAATAAAAAGTTATCCAAATTGTATGAAACTTTCAGGATATGTGTATTTTTTAATTCTGAACAACTTTTATTAAGGTCAAAATATATATTTACTTATTACAATTTTGACTTTTATATATAACAACTGTTAAAGATTTTTGAAAAATTCGGGTGTAGCTTATTTTCAGGTAAAAGAGAATTCCTGGTTTTTTTGCTCAAAAGTGAGGGGTAGCTTATTTTAAATGGTAGCTTATTTTGGAAAAAATACAGTACTTATTTTAGGGATGATGCTAAAATTTGCTGATACTAAAATTTAGAGTTCCTATTTAAATCTATAATACTGTATCCTGCCGTGAATAAGCACCCACCTTTTTTAATTTTCATATCTGAGTTTCTCACGATCTAGTGATCGGATCTGTACGATTTTGGTACCATTCGAATCTTTTTAATATGCTGATTCGAATAATACACAGATCTGATCACTAGATCTTGAGAAACTTGGATATGAAAATTGAAAAAGGTAGATGCTTATTCACGGTAGAATACGGTATCTACTAAAATTCATATATCCTTTTTTACTAACAATACTACCCTCAAACATTAATCTAACTTTAAAAAAAAACTTCTAATAAAAATTTTATAATAAAATAAGTCAAAATTTCAGCATCATCCCCAATATTTATTTATATTTCGCTCTTATTTTTTATTAAAGAAGAAGCCAGATCATTAGCTTCTAAATTTAGAAAAGAAACTGATCCAAGAAAGCCAGATTTCTGGGTTCTTATAGAAGTAAATAATACTTTTCAAAAGATATTTTATGAAGAAAACTCTGGTGGTCCTTTTGTTAATGACTCTAAAAAATTTAAGTCTGATTTATATAAGGCTATACAAACTTAATAATTCGGTTTTCATAACATAAAATTTTAAAAGTGACCCGGCAACCCGGTTTTTAATTTTATTTTCAAAAAATTTTATATATAAAAAACATATAAAATTTTTTATATAATTTTTAAAAAAACTCACCCGGATAGTAAATATACTAAAAATTTTTTTCTAAGGTTTTGTAAATTTTGACCCGGCCGGGTTATGAAAACCGATTTATTAAATTTGTATGGCCTAAGCTGTTCTGACTAGGACATGATTCAATCCAAAAAATGAAAGTTCAACTTATTGATAATAATCTTTAATTTTTATCAAATTATGAATCCTTGTATGAAAAGTTATATAAAATTGAGCAATTTCTAATACAGGCATATAGTATTATCTTTTTTTTTATTTAATAGATAGTTGCAACAGAGAGTAATATGATCCAAATCGGTGACAATTGAAAATATCTTTGAAATAATAATGGTGAACCAGTAAAAATTTTTAATGAGAAGACAGTTGAGTGCAATAAGAAAAGTAATAATAATGAACCGGTGAATATTTTTAAAGAAGAAACTGTTGAATACATTAAAAGTAATAATAGTGAACTAAGCATTAAGAGTAATAATGGTGAACCAAGCATTAAGAGTAATAATGATCAACTAGTGGAAATTTATAATGAAAAGACTATTGAATACAGTAAGAAGAGTAATAATTTTAGGCAATATATGAAATTAACTTGTGCTTATCAATATCCCTTTATCTTAATCAAGATAATGAATTTCCAGAAAATATTAAAGAATAGTTTCTAGATTATATTAAAAGATTTCTCAAATCTAGAATAAAGCATTTGAATTTTAATGAAACTGATATTAAGCATATTGGCAAATTTTTGGAATTTACTATTGAAAATTCTAAAAATATTTAATAGTAAATAAAATTTGATCCACTGATCTGTTTTCAACGAAACAATTACCAAAATGTTTGTCTTGTTGAGACAAAACTTTTGATAATTGTTTTATCAAAAACAAATCGGTGGATCAAAAATTATTCACTATTAAATATTTTTAGAATTTTTAATAGTAAATTTCAAAAATCTGCCGATATGGAAAGTCAGAGATCAAGATCTTACTAGTCGGGTGTTTTTTTAATTAACCAAGAAAAAATTAACTCATAAGCCAGGTCTCTATGAATTAAAACTAAGCCTAGCAAAATTAATTATGAAGTTGGTAGAAAAACTAAACGAAAAATTAAATAAATAATTGAGATTTGGCAAATATATACAGTAGGAATCATAAGTAGCTCACCCCTCTTAACTTTTTAAATCGAAATGCTAGAGTCTTGAAAATTTTACTG